ATTTCAACATTACCTTTATCCTCTGTATTATATTTGTCTCAATTCCTCTTAAATTTGTTGTCCATCAGCCAAATCACTTCATCATTAAATTGTTCAGTAACATTTTTTTTCTGATTCTTATATTTTGCAGGATCTAGTGACACAAAGGATCATTGGTAGAGGTAGAATATCTAATGGGCTATATCTATTAGAAGAAGGACTTCCGCAAGCTTCTATTGCGTCTAGGAATGAAACAATGTCTTCTTTCCAACTTCATTTGCCGTCAGGGTCATTTGTCTTTAGGAATTCTTAGGAAATTATGTCCTAATATAGAGTTTAATTTTTATTGAGTCATGTCAGTTTGCTAAACATCATCGTAATGTTTATTTACCTCGTTTAAATAAAAAGCTCATGTCCCCTTTGAAATTGTTCATTCTGATGTTTGGGACCCTTGTCCAGTTACTTCTAAATCTGGTTTTAAATATTTTATTACCTTTGTAGATGATTATTCTCTTGTAACATGGTTGTTTTTTATGAAATCTAGATCTGAAGTCTATTCTATATTTTGTAATTTCTATGCTGAAATTAAAACTCAATTTAATACTTGTATGCGCATTCTTAGAAGTGATAATACTAAAGAATATTTTTATGCATCTTTTACTAATTTTATGAATAAACATGGCATACTTCATCAGTCTTCTTGTATTGTTACCCCACAACAAAATGGAGTAGTTGAACATAAAAATCGTCATCTTATAGAGGTAGCCCATGCTTTACTGTTTGAAATGAAAGTTCCTAAACTTTTTTGGGCTGATGCTCTTCTTGCTGCTGCATATTTAATTTAATCACATGTCATCATCTGTGTTACATGGTGATATTCCCCACTCTATACTTTTTCCTTCACAATCTCTCTTTTTTTTTACCTCCTAAAATTTTTGGCTGCATTTGTTTTGTATTTGATGTTCATCCTCAGGTAACTAAACTTGATCCAAAGTCCCGTATATGTGTGTTTCTAGGTTATTTTCGGTCACAAAAAGGTTATCATTGTTTTCTCCTTATCTTAGTCGTTATCTTATTTCCTCAAATGTGTCTTTCTTTGAAGGTCTTCCATTCTTTAAGTCCTCATCTTTTGAGTCCATGTATAAGGTAGATGAACCCTTCTTAACTTATACTCTTGTCCAATCTACACATCCTATTGCAACTCTAGCTCCTATTGATACAAGTTTCAAGTTCTTTGAACGAACATACTCTCGTCGGCCAAAACAGCCTTCAAATGATGTGCCTCCCATAGCTAATGATATTTAAGATGATACTCAACCTCGACCATTATCTCCTCAAGTGTCAACAGATCCTATGTCTGACCTTGACCTTCCTATTGCTATTCGAAAAGATAAGAGATCTTGCACATATCCTATTTCATCTTATGTGACGTCTACTCATTTATCCTCTATATCTAAAACCTTCATGGCTAGTGTAGACTCTCTCTCTGTTCCTAAGACCCTTGCAAATGCCCTCAGTCATGATGGTTGGAGACATGCTATAGAAGAAGAAATGTTGGCTCTTGAAACGAATGATACTTGGGATTTGGTTCCTCTTCCCGAGAGCAAACAGGCTATTGGTTGTAAGTGGGTTTACACTATGAAAGTTAATCCGGATGGTTCTATGGCTCGTTTGGAGGCACTCCTTGTTGCAAAAGGGTATGCCTAAACTTATGGCATTGACTACACTAACACATTCTCTCCAGTTGCTAAACTCTCATCTATTTGCATCTTCATCTCTCTTGCGGCTATGCATCATTGGCCATTATTCCAGCTAGATGTCAAGAATGCATTCTTACATGAAGACTTACAGGAGGAGGTGTACATTGAGCAACCATCTGACTTTATTGCTCAAGGGGAGCGTGGAAGAGTATGTCGTTTAAAAAAGTCATTATATAGCTTGAAACAATCACCTAGAGCATGATTTGAGAGATTCAGTGATGTGATTTTGGAATTTGGATTAGTGAGGAATGAGAGTGATCATACAGTATTTCACAAACAGACTAACCACAGTTATATTTTACTTGTTTATGTTGATGTATTGTTATTACAAGTAGCAACAAAGAAGAAATTAGCAACCTAAGAAATTTCTTCAAACCAAGTTTTAGACAAAAGACTTAGGAATTCTGAAATACTTCTTGAGTATTGAAGTCATGTACTCTAAGCAAGGAATCTTCCTTTCATAGAAAAAATATGTCTTAGACTTATTGACTAAGACCGAACTAAAAAGAGCTAAACCATGTGAGACACCTATGGAGCCAGGAGTGAAACTAACAGCAGATAGAATTTCTTTTGCAAATCCACAAAAATACAGAAGATTAGTAGACAGACTAGATTACTTGACTGTCACAAGGCCAGATATTGCTTTTTCAGTGAGTGTTGTTAGCCAGTTTATGTCATCTCCGACGAATACTCATTGGGAAGCACTAATCCACATTGTGAAGTATTTGAAGAAAACACTAAGAAAAGCAATTGTGTATAAAGATCATGGACATGCACAAATAAAGGCGTTTTTTAATGCTGATTAGGCAAGATCTATGGACAAAAAATCTACTACCAAATATTGTGTGTTCTTGGGAGGTAATTTAATTTCATGGAAAAGTAAGAAGCAGAATGTTGTTTCAAGATCAAATGCTGAATCAGAATACAGGGCGATGGCTCAGACTACTTGTGAGTTAATGTGATTGAAACATATACTGGAAGAGATAGGATTTGGTAGTATTAAGCCTGTGCAACTTTGGTTTGACAACCAAATAGCGACACACATTGCCTCAAATCCAGTTTTTCATGAACGGACGAAACATATTGAGATAGACTGTCACTTTATTTGAGAAAAAGTTCAGCAAAAGTTTATATTCATCTCTCATGTTAGGACAGGCGACCAACTAGCAGATGCGTTTACAAAAGCTTTAAATGGGACACGTAACAATTATATTTATAACAAGCTGGGCATGATTAATATCTATGCTCCAGCTTGAGGGGGAATGTTATGAATAGTTAGAATAGACGTATTAAGATTAGGGTTTATTTTAGTATTATAATAACGGGCTTGGCCCAGTAAGGTTACATATGTATCCTTATAAATATAAGGGTCTCTACACATTGTAGAATATCCAATTCCATCACACTAATTTGTCTCTCTCTCTCTATGCTCTTTTTCTCTTAATCTCTACACCCTAGAAAGATATTTTCTTCTTGTGAAATGTCTTGACCTAACCCCTTTAAATCGTCTTCAAAACTTTTCTTTCAAAAGAACTGTTAAACTTACTTGCAAGGCATAGGCACTACTGATATTATCCTGTCTACAAACCTTTTAACATCCACCATATTCTCTTTCTAAATCATGTTCACTATGATGCCTACTCCAATCTTTCTTCCCATTTTTCTTATGTACCATAGTTTGAGACCTAAGTGTCTAGCTCTTTACTTTTTTCTCCAACCCATTTAGTATCTTGAAGACACATGATACTAATCCTTCTTTGAACCACAGTGTCCACAAGTTTTAAAGACTTGCCTATCAATATTTCATGAACTAAATCTAATTAAGAATTCATAAACTAGCTTCTTCATCCACATCTTTCCACACTAGTGTGAAGACCTTACTCATTTAACATTACATTCAAGCATTTATAAAACAACTCTAACTTATTTGACACTGAACTCAAACTTTAGGCCATCTAAAAAGTCTTTTAGGCTTAACAAGCCAACCTATTTAAATAAATATGGATGATGATAATGATGAGGATGATAATGATAATGATAACAACAATAACAATAATAATGAATGACTATTATTAATGTATTAGTTAGAAATTGCATATTTATTTTATTTAAAAGTTTAAGTCTATTGATTTATATATAATTTAGGCCCATTAATCTATATTGAGGAAGGCTTCTTTTTTTTTTAACCTTTTTAAAGACCTTATTGGAAAGTAGCTTTTAAATAGGTGGCTTATAGGTCAAGCAAAGCTTTTAGAAAGGCCAAGCTAGGCTTTAAAAAATTACCCATATCAGGCAATTTCCAACTCTGGCCTTGAATCAAGTGTTAGGCTAGGCTCAGGCTAACAAACCCTACCTCAGCTCAACCCATTTCCACCCTTACAATTAACCAATGAAAGACTTGATCAGTACCATATGAAAGAAAAAAATTGGTTCCTAGAGAAATTCCCCTTCTATCCACAATTCCACATTCACCAATGTGAGATGAACTTGTTGCAAATGTAATAATTTAGACTAATTGCAGTACCAAAGGAAGTAATGCCCAGTTCTTTGCAAATAATAGCAAGTTAGAAACACAGAACGAAATCCCCAACTTAAATGCCATATAATATGTACTGAACTTTCATGAAAATCCATATTAACCATTGTTTTGTAATCAATTCAAAGGGTCTTTCTAATTAGTACCCTCAGGATACTGGCTACCAAAGCAAGAAATAGAAAATTCTTATTCAAAATCATAGTGGGATGCATTGGTAATATTTTTGCATAACACCTTCCAATTTTTAATTCCTTAACCAATTACTTTATTTTTACTTCATTTGATTCACTCTTTTCCCTCCTATTAGTTTGAGTTTGAATTTCTATGATGGTATTAAACATCAATAACACTATACTTGCAACTCATGGTTAGAGTTATTAACATCACAATATATTTACACTGCCTTGCAAAAATGCAGCTCATGTACAACTGGTGCAACAGACTAAAAGGGTCAAATACAAAACAGTTAACACAATAAAAAATTATTACACTTGAACTAGAGCTAAACCATGAAAAAATAATGTGTTAAAATGCAACCCTAATTCTTTTACAAGATTTGTAATGCAAGATATCATATTCCACTTCTTTTAGCACAGTGCCCTAAGTGTAGGCATCCCATCATGAACAATTGCAGTGAAATCAGTTGTGCAGGTTACCTATAAAGTTTCCCCAGGAAACTGCTGAACTATGAAATTTATGACACCAAATTTAAACTTGAAATTTACCTGCTTAAGAACAAACAATCGCCTATCAGTTAATGGTGCAGGAATTATATCTCCATATACACGTTTTGCCTCCTCAGCTGCAAACTCAATAAAGCCAGCCCCATAGTTTATCTGCAAATAGTCACTTTCATACATACGGTACAAATAACAAAATTCAACTAGGGAAAAAGCATAAAAAAAGAAAACAAAAGAAACAATTGGCAAAGTACACAATAATAAAAATTCACCCATGTTGTACCTCACCAATAGACTCTTTAAGAGGTTTCCCTTGCTCCAAGGTTATAAGTTGTGCAAGTTCTTCTTTATGTGCCATTAGCAAATCATACCTTGAAAATTGAGGAGAAAATTAACATAATCTAACTATCATCAGGACAAAATAAGGTGACTAGATAACAAATAGATACATATTCAGACTTCATTAAAGTCAGGAACTACTCTAATTTAAACAAATGCAATCAAGCAGAAAAATAACAGAAAAAACTAGTTCTTTGTTTCCCTGTTAAATTTAGCAACAAGTGTATAATTAAGTACTATGAATTTGCATAATAATAAACCAATGCAGCAATTCTTGAAGGTAAGAAAAAACATAGTTAATTTAAAATACCAACAATATTTATTATTTACAATTTATGAACAAATGTGTACAGGGAGAAGGAAGATAGATAGGGAGACAAATAACATTTCTTTACTACTTTCTTTATAAAGTCTTTCTGGTAAAAAAAAAAGATAGGAAAATACAACTTCACAATTAATGATTTTTTTAACCAAGCACACAACCCAACACTTATCTATACATATATCATGAGTATATCATTGTCTTATATGCTACTGAGAATTTCTGCTGAAAGTATTATATGTAGCAATCCCAAATCAACCCCTTATACTACAGAATTATAAAGTTGGTGCCATTGAAGAATTCAAAATCCAATTAGCATTTCCAATCTACCTTAATTTACAGCATCACGAAGTTCCTCATAAATTAAAATATTCAATGTACATAGTATACTTGTCTAAAGCCTTTATTGGATATTTTTCATACATTCTAACACTTCCCATCTAAAATTTGCAATTTTAAGCGTCTAATGTTGTGAACATGCTTATTTACATATCATATCAAATGAGCACAAACTGTTTTAGTACTTTAGTGCAATAACTCTATGAAGTGAATTAACACAATATGGTAATAATAAAAAATGATACTAGAAAAAGCAGTATTTGTGGCTAAAATAAATTTAATTACATTAACAGCACCAAATGGTCCCAAAGCTTAAAACAATCAGAAGATAACTAAAATATTTCAAAAAAGCAGGCGGGTCTTGAAATCAGCAAAGAGCAACTATACCATTTCCTCAGAAATTTGCTCCGCTCAGCAGCAGTGATTTTGCTCCATGCTACACAAATGAAATGTTAGTTATTATAATAATGTGAATAAACCACCAATAAGAATAACAGATTTTTTTTGTCTAAACCACATGTATCCTCTTTTGGAAACAATCTTATTCAAGGCAGGTAAGATTACTATAGCCGACTAGTCGACTACACTCTATGAGTATTTAACATAATTGCATTCACTAAGACTCGAACTCAAGACCACAAGTTAAGATAGAACAACCCCTTGCTAATTGATCCATTTGCTCAGTGGTAATAACAAGTAAGGAATTACATGAACATAAATTGAGAACCAGGACAACATCAATCCCTCAGCAAAGGTATTTTATGAGATAAAACGGTATGATTGATATGATAGAAGCAGAGCAAATCAAGTAGAGTAATAACCACCACCAATGACTATATATTGAAATATGTTAACGCCTCAGTCCCTCACTTTATACAAACATTCTGAAAATAAAGTTGAAATTCTTTTAAAACAATGTACAATATTAACTACTACCCCCAGTTTCAATTGGAAGCTACTCCCTTCCAATTTAGTTTAACAAAAGTTAATATTTTGTTTGTAGCAAGGGATGCTACTCTTAACAGGGCCGCAAGCTAATAAGAAAAGAAAACAAATGAATGACCATTCAACTTCATTTCTTACCAAAACTCTTTATTGTTATTCGTGGTAACAATCTCATTGCGTTTATACTGTAAGAAAATTTGCCCCAAATGTTATAAAAGAAACATCAGTACCTCAGTTATTCAATAACTACGCACTGAGTAACTTATGCATATACATATATTTCCAGTAGTATTTATGGTAACATATCTTAATCCTCTCCATTATTTAAGCTTCTAATCTGAAATATAGGATAAATATATCATCAAACTGGAAAGTTTCATACATCCATATGCATCATAGGCCGCAGAAATTGCATCATTCGTCTCTCTTCCACCCATGCAAGCAACATTTACAATAGATTCACCAGTTGCTGGATTAAAAACCTGCAACAGCATGACATACATAAGATGCTTAGACAATAAGCATTGAGAAGAGAGGGAGAGATAGCTATGCCAACCTCTATGGTTTTGCCATCATAAGCATCAGTCCACTTCCCTCCAATAAGGCCCTGTGTCCTCAACAATCCAGAACTATTAAGCTGGGAAGCAACACCCCTTGCATCGATGCTTATCTGCAATTCAAACAAACCCCCGACTCATGCACAAGTAGCAAGAGTATCCCACAAAATAATAATAATAATAATAATAATAATAATCCATTTTGTAGTAATGCATTAAATCAGTCCTTGAAATTATGAGCACCAGAAATTTAGTCCTTAAAATTACAAAAATATCATTTCAGTCTCTGAAATTACCCAACAACGATCATTTTTATAGTTACAAAACGACAGTCATTTAGGTCCTGAAATTACAACACCACGAACTAAAATGAAAAATATTTGATAATTTCTAATGCTGATAATTTAATGTATTACTCAATAGACAAGATGATAAACACATAAAACCGATCATTGAATACCAAATTTGGACATGATAAAGGTAAAAATGGTAATCAGAAAAATAAGATTGAAGCAGTGAAAGTGAAAACGATGGAAAAGTAGAAAGAGAGAGAGGGGAGGAATGGGATGCCTTTCGAGTGAGGGGAGGAGAGGATGGATGCATCTTCATAGAGAGAAGAGGGGAAGGGCGACAGAAAAGCTTCCACGATCGCAGAGCCATGCGACTAACGTTCAAAGCTGCCATTTGCGGTGCTCCTCACAGAAAATGGCACTGCTTTGTTTATTTAACCAAAATAAATAACCAAGAAAACACTACTCCTATTCCACTCTTTGAATAAAATAAAAGCATGGAAGCGGTCTTGTAGTAAAACGGTAAAAGCAAACGAACGAAAATAAAGTCGTATAACGCGTGTCTTCAAAATTGCCCTCACCGTTGATTATAAATTGAAATGATAAAAAAATATTAAAATTTTATTTTGAAACTATCCAATAATCAACCAAATACTTAAGGCTTGTTTGAATTATTTTTAATTTTAAAAAATATATTTTAAAACTATTTTATTAAAATATTTTTTTAAATAAAATTAAAATAAAATTTGTTTGATGATTTAATTTTTAAAACTGTTTTAATTGAATTTTTATTAATTTGTTTTTTAGTTTTAACAAATAAGTTTTTTTATTTTTTATTTTTAAAAACAAAAAACTATATTTAAAAAAAACAATCAAGCTTAGTCTTTTTAACATTTTTTATAAGAATTAATTTGAAGGAATATCGATTTTTTAAAAGATTTAATTTATCATCAAGTTAATACTTTTCATCATTTTAATAATTATTAAGAACTAATATGATGATACTTTAAATTTTTGAGAAACTAATTTGATGATAAATAAAAATTTTAAAAGATTAATTTAATAACAAAATTTTTAGAGAAAATGCGGTAACAATTAAATATTTTAAAGCCTAATTAGATGGTACAAAATTTTAGAGAACTATACTATATATTCGTTTATATAGTATAATAGAATGGAGGCTGACGTGGAGTAATATTTTGTTTCATCGCTCCCATTAGTAAAATGAGAAAATGAAATATAACAAAATCTAATGGAACTACTCATTCTATTTTTCATTGCTCATGCTTGCTTTTTATTTTCTTTTTAATTTGAGAGAAATAGAATTAAACTATAAATATATTTTTTTATAAAATTATAAAATTACTATTTTATTGTTGTATCATATATAATAATGTATTTAGATATTTTAATTTATTATTTTATACTATATAATATATAATATTATATTAATAATTTTAATTAATATATTATTTCATAATATATTGTATAATGTAGAATATTACATTTATATTTTTTTAACATTTTTTATTTTTTACCTTAATTTTTTTAACTTAATATTTCTAGCATTAAAAATTGTCAAGTTTCCTTAAACCTTAATTCTCGACTTATTATAATTATTGGAGCTAAGCAATATTTTTGAATACTTTGATTCCAAATATAAGGTTAAATAAATTGGTTATTTCTATTAATTTTGCTGTAAAATATATAATTAATTATCATTAATGCATTTTTTTACCGACCTTAGAAAATGATAACATAGGAGTTTTCTAACAGGACTTGCAATTGGTGAAAAATTGTTTTAATGTTTTAGTTTAAATTTATATGAAATATTGTAATTTATCATATTTAATTTGATATTGAAACTTCGTGTAGTAATCTTATTGTAATTTACATTATATTTATAACATTTTTTAATTAATATTTTATATGAAATTGAAATGTATTTTAATTAACTAAAATGCAGGTAATAAAGATGAATATATCGATTTATTTTAACTAAAGTTGTTATTTAAGAAGTGTGAAAACGAGTATATGAATTTTTTTTTTTTATTATAAATTTTTAAAGCACGATAATAGAAATGGATATTGTAACTTATTCCTATAAGACAATAGAATTATATTTATAAAGAATATTTTGGTTATATTCTTAAAAGATATTGTGAGCACCCCTTCACAGTTGAATAGTTGGTAAATAAAATTTGTAAGATTCACTTTTGGGGGTACACTAATATTAAAATGGGATAAACTTTAACACCATATTAAAAATTTAAGTTAACGCATTTTCAAAAATTCACCCGATAGAAAAAATTATCCAAAACTTATTAGGAGTATTTAGCCATATTATCATGGAACATCTTAACCTATATAATAAACTTTAGTACCAAAATAGAGTTTAAGTTAAATTATATTCACACTCTTTAAAAGTTAGCACAATTATAAATAATAAAAATTACAATTTTTTAATATCTTCTAATCTCTTGCAAACACAAATTTAATCAATAATAAAAGATAAATATTATATTATAAAATTCATCATTTATTTATGTAAAACTTTATTTTTATTTAATTTATATTATTTTAAAAAATTATTCTTAAACGGGTTATTCAACCCATTTTAAAATAGTAGAATGATCATTTCATCATTCCTATTATAATTTTTTTTAATTTCTACAACAATATAACAATATATATATATATATATATATTACACAAATTTCTCTTACAATTATGAGCATGTCATGGAGCATTTCAGTATGTCCTAAGTGATAATTATATATAATAAGGGATAAATCATTTATCTTTGTCATACTCATGCATATTTCAATCTTTTATTTATTTAGAATATTACTTTAAAGGGATTCGAATTATCTCATGTTTTGGCGGGAACATGAGCCTCATGTTGTCATTCACTTAAGCAAATTTTGGACGTCTTAAGCGAATTATGCAAAAAAAAAGTAAATTATGTAAAAACTAACAACATATTATTAAAAGATAAAATTTTGTAAAATTTGTTATCAAAGTCAATTCTACTCATCTAAAGATATTTAACTATGGCAGGAAAACATAGATAGAGTCCATTTATTTCTATTCCATTAATAGTACACAATTGTTCATAATCAAATTTACCCAAAAAAAATTATTAATACATAGACAAGTCAAAAACAAAAGAAGCTGAGGCATTCTATTCCATTCCATTCATATCAAATATCATCCAGGAATAGAATGTCTCAAGTTCTTTGTTATCTTCATCCTCTCCCATTTATTCCTAGATAATATTTGATATGGATGGAATGGAATATAATGTCTCAGCTTCTTTTATTTTTGACTTGTCTATGTATTAATGAATTTTTTTGGATAAATTTTATTGTGAACAATTGTGTACCATTAATGGAATGCAATAAAATGGACTATTTATCCATGTTTTGCTACTATAGTTAAATATTTTTGGATGAGTAAAATTGACTTTGATAACAAATTTTACAAAATTTTACCCTTTGATAATATGTTGTCAGTTTCTACATAATTTACCCTTTTTCTACATAATTCGCTTAAGCCATTGTTAATTTGCTTAAGCCGTCCAAGCGAATGAGGCTCATGTTCCCGCTAGAACATGAGAGGATCCAAATCCACCTCAAAGGGCTATTACACAAAGGTAAGCGAGATTTGAGTTAGATTTGATGACTATCATGACATGTTTAAAAGGATGAGTAAAAGCCCCAATAATAAAACAAAAAAGAAGTCAATTATCAAGGCTAATAAGAAGCATGATGTATTTGGTTCGGACCATAGATTGTAACGCCCCAAATTTTAGTAATATTAATTATTATTATTATATATATGTATATATATTCATATGTGTGTTTATTTATTTGATAATGATATTTATGTGTATTAAGTACATAAATGTGTGTATTTATGTGTATGCATGATTGGATAGGACTAAGATGGGCTAAGTGCCTAAGTGCAAGGCGTGATACTGGGTTGTTCTCGCTATAACAAGATGATTCTCGCTGTAGCGAGAGGGCCCTGAGAGGAAGAATCAGAACTGTCATCTTCTTGCTGTAGTAAGAGACGTCTAGCTATAGTGACAGAACGACAGTTTATGGTGCATTTCTAGGTGTAGTCTCATTGTAGCAAAAGGGTCTCGCTGTAGCGAGATTCAACCAGGGTGCAGTTTCGTCTTATATTTTTGCTGCAGCGCGCGATAATATCTCGCTGTAGCGAGAGTGTCGCAACCAGAAAAGGATTTAAAGGGAGTTTATGGTTTGATAAGTTATTTCTCAAAAATCCCTTCGAATCCCTCGACCCAGAACCTTTTTCCATCGATTAAATTGCCTCCAAAACTGTTCAGGAGCTTGATTGAAGGTTGAATCCGTGTAGAGAACGCTTGGAGGTGAGTTTTAATGATTAGGGTTCTGTTTCTCATCCCTTTTTCTTTGTTTCTCAGTTTCTTAGAGTTCTCATGGAGTTTTTTCATGTGTTTTATGCCGAAATCTCTGTAGAGAGCACGTCCGTGGTCGAATCTGAGTGTGGGACGTCAATCCAAGGTAAGGGGAGACTCTACCCTGTCTCAATATATTGTAATTCTTGTGTGTTTTGATGATTAATGCAATTGTGGCTGAGATAGAAGATAGAAATTATGTGTTTGATGGAAATTGATATGCAATGTGATGTGTGATAGAATAATTAGACCCCGTGAGGGTGATTGTGTGTGATGGAATGCCATTAATTGGTGAATTAATGATATTGTGAATAAATGTGGGTTATGTGTTGTGTAATGTGAAATGAACGTGGGCCTGGTGCCGTGTATTTGAGTGCCATGTGTAAGCATGACTATTGCATGCGTGAATGAAATATGTGTGAATAAGCGTGTTAGCGCCGTTGTAATGTGCTATGAATGGTTCAACGAGTGACTCGTGACTGCCCACGTGATATCCATGAGGCGGGGTAACCGGCGACCATTCATGGTGTAAATCTATGATCACAGTACTGCAGTGAATTTGGCTGGCGTGTATATGCATAGGTTTATGAATTATACTTATGGATGTGGCATGATACTTGTGAATGTAATTGTTTAATGTATTAGAAAAGTACTGGAGGTGAGACTCTATATTAACTGCGTGTTTTTGGGTAGTGTAGAGTACTACTCACTTTTACATTCATTTTTCAGGTAATCAAGACGATTAGCAGCAGACTCAGTGAAGGGACAGATGAACTGTTATAAGACTTATATTTTATTTTGAAATTGTTGTAATTGAACTAGTCCTATAGCAGTTATTTGATATTAATTTGTAACTATTCACTTATTTCGAAATCTTTTATGAAAATTTGGTTATCTGATTTGCGAAATTATTATTTAATTAAAATTAAATTTAAGGTGTTACATAGATCCTCTTATTTTATACTTTAATATGACATATTATATTGATAAATTTAAACTATTTAATTAAAAATTAATCAATGACAAAAAATAAGAAGA